AATGTTACAGGACCTTGTACGTGGTCCTACGCACTCTAAATAAAATATATTTGAATCTGTATCTGTATTATAGCACGGAGACGATTATCGATGCTCTTGAACGGGCAGCTCGGCGGTAGAGCACGTCCGCTTTAATTTTAATTTAAGACGCAAAGGAAGGAGTTCGCCTAAATGAAGCCACGTCGTTCCGCGATCGACGTCCCGTTTTACATACCGGAAAACTTTTTGCTCGGATGGAGTGGTCGGGGGCAAAAATTGTGATCGCGATTAATTTATATCCCTGTTCCTGGAAGTGCGGGCGGAGTCGGGCCTGCGCGTAACTGAATAAAACATCGGCTGATCCCAACAGGAGTAACTAAATTTCGAGCAATGGCGCGGCGCCGCAGCCCACGACCTTTCGAAAGTTCAACGACACTCGGCCCGGCGTGCGCGACTTGTAGCGCTTTGCTGGGGAATCCGGCATAAAAATTGTAAATCGCGGATATGCCCGCACCCGGTGGCTCGATACCGGAGGGAATAATCGTGCGTTACGATCGGCCGCGGAACTTCGCCTCGGCGTGGGACGTGAGTTACGCGGACCAAGAGTTTTCGAATAGTTTTAGCCTCTTCGGAATACGCGACAGTCGTCCGTCTGTTTATTTTCGTTTACTCGAGTAGTTCCTACTACTTTGTGCAAACCAACGCAGCCTGTCGATTTACCAGGTATTTCGCGATTTAATTGCTGGTCCGCAACTGTTCGATAACTCTTTTCGATCTCTGCGAAGACCACCAAGTTTCTGTCTACCTCGAGGCTTCGTAGTCCCGACTTGCGTGAAAACTTGCGGGACTCTTGGAGGCCCATCGGTGGACGAAGAACCGGAAAGAGAAGGCTTAAAGGCTTCCGGGTGGGTCGAGGTAGACGTAAGAGAAAGGGAAGCAAGAAGCGACGGGGCAACATTGACTTCTTCATTAATGGTAATGATCGTGTTCTAAAAGTCTTCGGGAACTCGCGAAAGGAAACATCGCGATTTGTATTCAGGACGCGATATGGCGCTGGTACGTAGCGTGGAACAGGGTTCGAGCCAAGCCAAGGGGTGGTGGGTGGATTCGCGAAATAAACTCCCGAACGAGAAGAGGGGTTGGAGATCGAGAACAGGGTGTACGGTAGACTCTTGCGCTCCAGTTCGGCTTCCGACAATAAAAGTGAGCTAAGACCACCCACACACGGCCGCCACGGCGTCGTTCGGACGTAAACGTACACTAACTGTCTGCCCGGTCTCTCTGTCTGAGCCTGGAACACTCGAGGACGCCCTTTCGGGAGACTTTATTTGGCGACGTCGCTCGCTCCACGCCGTCTCATTGCACGCTATAATCGAACGAAATCGAGAACGGATGATAATTTTTACGGGTTACGTTTGGAGAGGGAGCGTAGAAGAGGACAAAATGCATCCGGAAACGCGTACGAGTCGTGAGACTAATATTATAGCGTCGACGATGGTAGCCCTACGAGCGTTTCAGGAATCTGCATAAAATGAGACTTTCAAATTTATTATATTTACACACAGCTCCACGTACATACAAATATACGATACCCATTTGGGAGTAATTGCACGTATCTTTAATTTGTCCTATTTTATATTATAATAAGCGTAATGTCCAACGAAGTATATAATAAAGCTGACGAAACACTGACATCTACGGAACTTGGATTAAAAGTCGGGCGCAACATCCAATAAATCCTTGCAGCTGCAACGTGCAGAGCTTCTCAAGAACTTCGAGGAAAAGAGTTTCGCGAGATAGGGCAAAGGGAATCTAAGAAAGAAGTATTAGGTGTTTTAGGGGATAGGATAGAGCGTAGAATGTTCCCAAGCTGTAGGAAAAACACGGGAAGAGATGAAGAAGTTCCGGGGCGCGAAGAAGCGAATCTAAACGAAAAAGGAAGCAGAGTAGAACCTGGCAGAGTAGATACGAGGATATCGTATGGATCAGAGAAAGCGAGTTTGATCTTTTCGGAAAGCATTCGAAGAAGTCGATCTAAGAGAGGACAGTTGAAAAGTAAATGCAGCAAAGTTATAATTAACGAAGAAGGAGACTAGCGTCTATCGATTACGACGAGTGCTCGACGACAAGGAAGGACCACGTACGAGAAGAAATCCTGCTTATGCCAATTTAAAAGCCCCGGTGGAGATGCAACCGCCGAGGCACCGGAATAATGCTAGCTCCAGTGTGCACGGAGTTGTTTAGCAGCGGCCCTCTTTGAAGGCGCTGTGGGAAAAACCGACTCGTGGTTCATTTAAACGAAACCCTTTAACGAAGTGTAGCGAAGTATCCGGGCGAAAATACTTTGAACGTTGGCGAGTAATTAAATAAAACACGGAAACTCGGATAGACGCTTCCTTAGAACGTCGTTCGTTCTCGCGCGTCTCTTTGGTCCGCGATTTCGACGCCATTGTTCGTCATCGAGGCTCGCGTGTCCCGAACGTAAATACACGTCGTACCAGCGTGTCCGTTTCGTGGTTCGCGCAGTGTTTGCTGAAACTGCTTTGCCTTTCGAGATACCTGCCCGACGAACTCTCGTGCAAGCGTGCTCGGCGATGTGGTTCAAGTCTGCTGGTTGGCTCCCTCTCGTTGGAGCTTTTCTTCGCGGTAGATGTAATTAAAAATACTCGCTCGGTTAATTTCCAAACAGCTACGCGCGCGCAGCCCGCATGGAAAACCGCGTCATCGCCAAAAAATTTGTCGACGATTGCATGTAAAGAGAAGAACGTTTACTTAACCAAAAGTCGAAGATCATCATGGTCTTCTTACTTTTGTCGGTTTAATCGATGGATAGACGCCATTTTGGACAGGACAGTTTGTGTCTTGCACATTTTTTCGGTAGACTAAGATAAATAGAAGTCGTTGACACAAAGACTTTGTAAATAAGATGCTAGAACGCATACATTTTGAAGTTCTTAACTTGAGAAATTTGTTTTGTCCACTTTCCACGAACTTCAAAGACCGCCGCGTTACACCGGAATTCTTAAGGGAAGGTTGCATCGTCAGGAGAGTTGAATTAAGCAAGATACTAAAGGAAGATAAGTTACGAACGAGGGAGGAAGAGCGAATAACCGACCCAGAGAATTTGGTGGGATTTAATTTCAAACCGTGTAAGTTGCACCACCGCGAGAACGTGCGAAGATCATGTTCTACTTCACACTCTGGAGCCACAAAATCTGTAAAAATGAAACTGTAATGTCGTGATTGTACAATTTTTAGGAGATTTAGATTCTAAACCGAATAAAATCTACCGAATCGATTAGTTAACATACTTTGTTGGAAATTAAATTTATAAACCCTTTTGTCGTATACAAATTTTCGATACGCGGGTACAATTAAAATAAAAAAAGTTAAACTATAATGTGAATGAAGCCGCGGGTAACGACTGATCGTAAATAATAGAGCACCATCAGCATACATATACATGTGGCAGTTACCTATTACAAACGAACATTGTTGCATATTGCACATGTACGTCATTGGGTATCTGAAATAAATATAACGCAAAATTTGTACGGAGATAGGATCGGCAGAGGTGGAATACAAAATAAAAAATACAGCACTAACCATGAGATATCGCGAGTAAAACATTCCACCGTGTTCTAAACGGTCGTGTAATATTTTCAAAGCCTTTTTCTCCAAGTGTGATAAATTATAGGGCTGCACCAAACACCTCAAAGGGCAGTGAATCTCCCATTTCTGGTGTAATCCCGTACTCGAAACCTCAAACGCACCAATTATGTTGCTCCGAAATGGCATCGAATATCGGACAACGTATTTTGGACAGTTTTTAATGCGACATTGATTTGCTCGTGAATAAATGTCACCAGTGATACAGTTCAACCAGTAACGAGGTACTGGTCATTACTTCCCTGGTCCATGCTCTCACACAGGATTAGTCAAAGCCCAAAATAATACCGTGGGCGTTCGGTGTTTGCGCACACTGCGATGCAAACATCTATGGTTTATCAAACCTTTATCGCTATGAATTCTTAACAATCGAACCGTCTCTCTTACCATCGATCAGATGTATTTATTTAGTAAATGCTTATCGATCTTTCCTACTTGTAAAAAAATTAATAAATTTAAAAACACTCAACGAACTTGGTCATTCATAAATGTTTTTCCATGTAACGAATTTTATAAGACTTGAAGAGGGAGGTTACAGAATCGAGGTCCGATAATAGAATAGATATAGTAGTAATGGCCGTCTAATATTAAAAATTTGTTTACTATGTGACTTATGCCATACGTGGCCTTGGATCGTACAATTCCAAACAAACGTAGACATTACTAGCCATTAGTTTCTTCGTGAATTGATCAAATTTACCAGTCTTTTTAACAAAAGAAAGAATTTTCGCTGTCCATTGTACTCTCACTGACATAAGATGTATCCGTATAAGTATAGATCAGGAAAAATGATTCTTTTCTAATCTTGCTTCTTTCTGGTGGTTTCTGTCGGTTCTTTGAACATTTTATTGTTCTTTGAACTGTTCCTACGCTTAAGCTGCAATTTGTCTTGCTGTCAATGCAGGGTTGGAAGCTTTCCTCAGAAGTTGGAAGTGTTCCTAATGTCTTAGAAATTTCTATTATTGTACAGTTCTCACAATCGAAACGTTTAATTATGTTACGTCTTGTTGCATTGTCGCGGCTAATAGAACATATTTTCATACAGCTCTGAACTTCCCAAAAATATTATCTGTGTCATTTAAGAACGTCCCGGGATGTAAACAATGACATCCGCACGCGGGGGAAGAATTGTTTTCTTGCAACGCAGAATTACATGGTTTTAGCGTCGAATAGTATTGTCGCCGAAGCGTATCAATCCCATCGCTAGATCATCCGCGGTCGAAAGCCGCGCGCGAGACCCGTATTTCTCTGTTTTGATTTCGGACAGCGGCGCGCAGACAGCAAGAGTGGACTTGAAAATAACCAACGGCAGGAGAAGGCCCGTCTATTAATAGTGCACCGGAGAGTATCTTTGTCGCGCATTCGGCAGCGTCCCCGTCGGTTTCGCAGCAAAATTCGTCGGTCAATTTACCGTTCCGCGATACATTCTTCGCACGTAGACGCGCGAGTCGCGTCGTAACTCGATCGGAAGACGAGGTTCCGCGGAAGTTCGCGCCCGCACCTTGGCAGCCATCGCGAATATTCTCGGGACGGTACGCATCTCTAAGCATCGCGCGAACCAGAGAACCCGGAGCTATCCGGAGTTGTACGGACGACGAAGGGCCGTGGGTGGAACGATCGCAAGATCGACGACGAAACAAAACCAGAGTGCAATAGTTGGCGCGGATGTCTGTGTACCGTAAGATTCCTCGAAGGTTCCACGAGTTCGGGTTCACCTACAGACGAACTGGAAGGAAGTTAAAACCACATTCGAGTGAATCTAAATAAAGAACTACGCGGAGCAGTGGACGAAGGTGGGGTCGGATGCTGGCTCTGGCGAAGAGGGAATATGCGGTGAGTAAGAATGGTACAGCGGGCCGCATGCAGCGTCGAGGCGAACACATTCTCCAATGGCGTACGGATCAGCGACCGGGAAGCCAGAGGGTCGAACGTCGCCGCAACGAACGCCACGGTAGATCACGTACTACGCGCCGTGGACGAGGCACGCGGGAACGCGAGGTTCTCCCTCTTCAAGTGGTTCAAACGGTCCGGTAATCGCGAGTCGTTGATCGAGAAGCGACGAAAGACGGTCGACGAGTGCAGGGAGAATGACGGACGACCACGGAGCGTCTCCTCGAGCGCGGAGAGCGTAAACACCTTCTACAGCACCACCACCGTGCGTAGTTTCGCCTTCCACGCGGGTACCGTGGGCAGATGCGACGGACTCTCGTTGGACATCCTCGAGCAGGCGGCGGAAGTCGGACCGTTCGCGGCCGGAGCCTCGAAGATCGCGGTAGGCAACAAAGAGAACGACGTCGCGGACGCGTCTAGCACGCTGCCAGCGAATGTGCACTCGCACAGAAGAGACATAACCGCCAGATACTCTCTGCAACCGTCGGCGACGTTCGCTTCTTGCGGTAATCTACCGTTTCCGGAGAGACGGTTGGGCTCGTCGAGGAGGCTAGACGACAGAAAGGCCAGCTACAACACGGGATCGGCGCGCAGGAGGGTGCACGTGAAGGGCAAAAGACGCGCGCCAAATCCACCGGAAGTTTCGACGAACGCGACGGAGCTGGATGCTCGAGAAACACCGCGCAACAGCAACAGACGAAAGAGACGCGCGCCCAAACCGCCTGAAAAGCCTGAAACGCCGCCGGTCACGGATGGCGGAATGGACATAGGGGCGCGGAGGGACTCCGAGACGATCAGCAACGACACGCTGGTGCTTCAAAGGGGTGTTCTGCTGTCGAGAAAAGAGACCAAGAAGACCGCGCGAGAGAAGCACGCGAGCACCGTCGCGCCAGACGTCGCCATTCCTCGAGACAGTCCGACACCAACCCCGGTCGTTGGCACTCTGAACGCAGCCATGCCGCGACCTTGGTACAAACGCAGCGTCTTCGAGCATTCCCGGGATTCCGGACCGTCCAGGCGGGGCGACGTTCTCCGGGGGCCTGCAACCTCGACGGGCGAAATAAAAGAAGAATGCGCCGCCTCGAACGTGGCTTCTTCCGCCGGCTACTCCGTGGACGCCTCTTTGTCGAGGCTGAGCTTCTTCCATCGCGGCGGCCAGTCGGAGGAGAGGAAGAGGGAGGCGAAACGAAAGTCTGGCCTGTCGATTCTAACCAACATCAGCGAGCTGGACAAAGAGGCGGCCGCCATCGTTCAGGAGGAACAGGCGAGGGCGAGGGCGTCCATGCTGCTAAAGTCCTCGCGGTTCGTCGACGCCCTCGAGAAACGAAACGAGGTGAACGAGGAAATCGTTCAGGACATTGTCGCATCCGCGATGGAGAACTCGTCTCCCAGACGGGGCACCAGAGCCCTGATCTCCAAGTTCAACGCTATCAGCAACATCACCAAGGTCACCGTCAGCGCAAACTTCTTCGCGAAAGGGGGACGAGACCATCAAGCGTCCAAATTCGAACGGGACGTCGTGAGAAACGCAAGACCGTTCGAACAGGATCAATCGAGACTCTCGGCACCGTCCACCGCGGGTCAGAGCAGCCGTATGGAGAAAGACATCTCGAAATATTTTCTACCGCAACAAAGGACCGCGAAGAGCAAAACGGAGAACACGGACGCGAGGCTACCGGGGGCCAGGATCCCCGCTACCAAAGAACAGAACGATCGACTGGCCACCGAGACTTCCAGCAGAATATCGTTCCTGCAGAGCCAACTCGCTGCAAATCGAATGAACGATCCGATGTATCCGCGGAAGAATGAGGCAGCGGAGGATAAAATTCGATCAAGGCAGGATGTCGAAAAGAAGGAAAGAGCGACGAAAGCGAGCGACGAAAACGCAAGGGGATACTTGTTTGGCCCTGGTCGTGGATCCGCGGGAATCGTTCTCGAAGAGCCCAGAAAGATGGACAAGCATCACCTGGAGAGCGTGCAGAAAGAGTTCTCGGATATCTTCGACGAGATCGACAAGCAACTGCGTATGAAGGAGTTGAAATTCATCGATCGACGCGCGAACGCGACCACGGTTAATCAGAGGGACAATATTCGCGAGGAGGAAGCCGGAATATCAAGCAAGGTAACCAAAGTGCTCGACATCCTGGTGGAAGCGGAGAAGGACGCCAAGACAAAGACGACCGTGCAGTCGGAAAAATCGATACCAGTCGAGGTTTGCTCTTGTTCGGCCGACTCGAACGCGAAAGCAAAATCAGGCAAGACGAGGTCCCCGATACTGAATACCGTCGAGGATCCAATTACCACGGATTTGAAAGAGATGCTGAAGGAAATGAAACACTCGTTACCAAAGCGCTCGAAGCCGGGTAAAATGGTGACGCGTATCGACGACGGGGCTGAGAGAGTGACGAGGGAGAAAGAAACACCAGCTGCCCCGGAAAAGACTACGTACTTTGTGTCCGCGGTGACGAAAGTCGAGAATATCGCGCTGCGCAACGACTACGATACGAACAAACAGAAGGTGTCGTGCTCGGTGCAAACTAGTGGAAACGTGAGAAGATTGAATCAACCGTCCACATCGGCTATACAGCCGTCCACGTCTGGATGGAAGCAGGAGAACGTTCTCTACAAAACATCCGGAAGAAATTTGGGTGGTTCGGGCCTGGTGAAAAATACCTTTCAGCTGATAAGACCGCGCGACTTCGCCGAAATCGAAGCTACCAAAACGACGAGGACCGCCTGCAACGAGAACACTTACGCGAATGTGATCGAGCAGTCGCTTTACGCGAACGCTCACGTTCCTCCGTCGCCGAGACAACGCGACAATTCCGCGCGAAGTAACGACGTTAAAAAGATTAATAACGCCGATGCAACGACGAACGCGTCTCCAGCGACCGAACGAACGTTAAACGCGAACGAAGACACGTTCCGGGGTAGCGAAGAAGGTAAAATGTTAATTAAATGGCGCGGACAGTCGTACGACGCAACGGGTGAATCATGCGCCTAAATATATTACGCGGTGTCATTCGTTTTTCCCTATTACTACGTCCTTATCTCTCTTTCTCTTTCCCTTGTTTCTTGCAGAAGACAATTCAACGGAGAAGAACATGAACACTCTGGCCATAAACCGATTACTTAGAAAGTTAGAAGCTGCAATTGCATCTGGCCATCATCAACAAGCGGCGGGCTTGGCGAAGGAACTGGCGCGGCTCAAGATCCACTGTTCCGTGATTCGACAACGATCAACCCGTCTCAAAGATCAGTTGATTAAAGTCAATATGTACATTGAGGACAAGCTTGCTCACCAGGGACCCATACCTCTTCAGGTAAATACCGGTACCTGCTCGAATCAAGGCACCCGCTTGCTATCCATAACGTGGTATTAGGCTGCTTTGCTAACTCGAGATATGATAACAGTTGCCGAGCAAGATGACGGTGGCCGAGCTGAAAGCAAAGATACACACGGAATTCGAGATACCGGCGAACGTGCAACGATGGATCATCGGTAAGAATTTGGCCGACCGCGATGGAGCAACTCTAAACGACTTACAGGCTGTGGATGGATCTCCGATATTTTTGTATCTCGTAGCCCCAGGTAACGTAAAAGAAATGAAAATCCAAACGCTTCTAAATATTAATAACATAAAGATTATTGATATTGCAAACGGTATTTATATTCATCGATATCCGTACGAACCTTTTAATGTGTCTTAAAACGTAAATTATATTTCTTAGGGATCAAGAAATATATCTGTTCCTTCTTAATATCTTCGAACAGTAAATTTCTCTACGTGTCTATTTGAACTTTTTCCTGACCGCTCTTCTCGTATTTAAATGTTCTTTTTCGATTTGCAGAATTAAAACCTGAAAATGTGATACAAGTAGAAAAACTTAATAACGCAGAGAGACTGCCAAATGTGATAAACGATGAGGCGACTTCGTCAACGGAAGTGCTACAGGCTGTGGAAGAAGATCATGAAGTGATCGAGGAACTCAAAGTACTATTATTGCTAAAAAGATTAATTAATTTGGATACTTGATGTTTTTTTTATGTATCTATTAATATCAAACATTGTACATATATTTATTTATGTTTCGCCAAGCTATAAAAATTTATTCAAATATAAATAATATATATTCTCATTTGTAAAATGACGACAAACAGGTGACAGAGGAAATAGATACACCGGAAATTAAAATGGAACGATACGAGGAACTGATCTCCCTAGAAAACTGTGACGTTATACCGAATTCCGAGCCAATCGAGTGTCCCGTATGTTTCGTTACATACGGTCCACGCGAGGGTGTAATATTAAGAGATTGCTTACACATGTTTTGCAGGTACGAAAAATCGTTATAGACTTATAGTTCCCTGCCCCAGTTACTCGACTATTTTTTTTCTAGGTCGTGTATTGCTAATACGATTAGATACTGCGAAGACGCCGAGGTAAAATGCCCTTACAGGGATTCGGAATACACTTGCGAATCGACCCTTCAAGAACGTGAGATCAAGGCGGTAAATTTATCGTTAAAATCTGCTAACAGTAGTTTTCAAGTTTTTTGAAAAAGAAACCTTCTCTAAGGTTTAAAAATTATTTAATCTCCATATTACAGGAGTTATAAAACCCCAAACAGGAGTGTATTTGATCTGTATGTCTGTTTAGCTTGTCGAGCCAGAGGTCTACCAGCAACATCTTGCGAAGTCGATTGCCCAAGCGGAGAACAATGCTGGGAACAACGCGTTTCATTGTAAAACTCCAGATTGCCCTGGTTGGTGCATCTACGACGACGACGTGAATAATTTCCTCTGCCCCGTGTGCGGCGCAAACAATTGTCTAACTTGTCAGGTCAGGGAGTGAAACGTAAACATTGTAATTCGTCTTACGATACTAACATTTAGTTCCCCCATATTTTAAATCTGAAAACTTGAAAAAATTTTCTCTAACATACCGGGAGTCTTCTAAACAGATGGGGTGTCTCTAAAAAGTAAGTGTCCCAGGTCTCGACAAAGTGCTTATACGGGTTACTAATTAATTGTTACATCTTAGGTCATACACACTGGAAAAAATTGCAAACAATACCAGCAGGAATTAAGACTGTCGAAAGAAACGGATCAAGAATCCAGAAGAACAGCCGCTATGCTGGAAGAAATGGTAGACAGAGGCGAGGCACTCGCATGTCCAACATGTGCGGTTGTGTTAATGAAGAAATGGGGTTGCGATTGGTTGCGTTGTTCAATGTGCAAAACCGAGATATGCTGGGTAACGAGAGGGCCACGTTGGGGTCCAGGAGTAAGTAATCGATACGTTGAGATATCGGTATTATAGAAACAGTAATGTACCTGATAATTACTTGATCGTTTCATTTCTTTATTGATCGTTCCTTTTTCTCTCTCGCAGGGAAAAGGGGACACGTCCGGGGGCTGTAGATGCGGAGAAAATGGAGTCAAGTGTCATCCCCGTTGCAATTACTGTCACTGAAGAGAACCATTAGAAGATACAATTACTACAACGACGCGCAACAATGTACACGATAGAAAACATGTACCGGATGAAATTTTTCAATATTGTTAACATACTCACGTATCGAGTTCAATCGGTACTCGAAACGTCCGACGTCTTTGATACGTGATTAATGACAAGTTCGATAACCGATAAACTAATACTGATAAGTTACATGTATAGGTTACACGCTGCTTGCTCAACGATTAACCTTATCGCGGAACCGTCCTTCGTGGAAATGAGATAATAAAAGAGGCGCTCACCTCGGTTTCTAACGGTTATTCTTATCATCTATCCGAGCAAAAGGATTCGGGGAAATGAATTGTATTTTACTTAAAGCTTCGTGTGAATCATAAACGTATAATAAATTATTGATACAGGTAGTTTTGCAATTATACAGGCACCGATTCTTCTTCGTTCTCGTTAGAGGGCGTTTCATTTGTACCGATCTGTTTCAGTCGTGCCACCAGTGTTGTCTGATGATGCGTGAGTTGTTGATTTAGATTAACACCACCCGCATTTTGTAGTACTTGAACCAGACCCAATTGCGCCGATGTCATGTCCATGGAACCATATTTTATGAAATAATCGTACTTGAATACTTGACCCTCCAATATTCCCGCTAAAAAAAAAAAAAAGTCAACTAATCGATACATTCGTCGGGAAATAATTCTGTATCACTTACCCATCATGTAAATTTGAAAACATTTTTTAAAAATTTTTTCTAGAGCAGCAACATTTATGTCAGGACTGAACACAAATGCAGTGTTTTGACTAAGTAACGGACTAATGCCTTCGTAAGGTGAATCTTCTATTGCTTTGCGCACAATGCGAGTCCCGTATTTCTTGTAGTACATGTTTGCCATTTTTAACGAAACCTTAATATCGAATAAATCATTTTCCTTTATGCTATTTACATGCAAGCAGGCGACCATTTTCGAATTGTCGAACCAATTTCGGACTTCCTTCGCTATAATTTTTTCGTAGGGCCCAAGTTCGTAATTACCTTTCTCGCCTAATGCGTTTCGACATAGTTCGTCCAGAGTCTTATCCTGATTAGGATTGATAAAGAATGGCGTTAAAAGTGCATTCACTACAGCTTTCTTATAAAACACTTTCGGCTTTTTAAGATTTATCTTGCCTCTATAACGCTTCTGTTGGTACAACAACTGATTTGGTGTTAACTGAAATGCTATAACAGAAGAAAACAAGTTTATACTTGCAAGCTACGTGCACCCGTTATCTGGCTTAATTAAAATACCTACCACAATGTTTTCGGGCTCCGATACGGACTGTTTGTATCGATGATTTTTTACGTAGAAATTCGAATTTACAAACAACGATCAAAACGATCAAAGTAGTAAAAATACTTTCTGGGAACCTAATATATTAGTAACAACGGAATAATTCCTAATTCGGAACTATTGGTTATTCAACTTACACATTGCATGAATTGCGTGCACGATTTTTTATTTTAAAAATAGATACATGATCGGTACGAATTGAAGACGAGTACAAAAATTATATATACAGAATGAATTATTTCTTGCAACGATATAAGGCACTTTGGAACAAATCATACATGTAAATATATACTATATGGTCGCGTGTACGTGTACGTGTACGCGCGTAACGTGCGATGAGTGTTAAAATGTGTATTCGTGTATAATATGTTTCTAGATGTACAAGTACGTTTATGTATATCGTGAATTCCGTATCTACGTTATAAATACCCTTCTAATATTATGCGATATAATTGATCGTTCCACTGCAATAATTGCTGGATTCGTGGCGGGCTTCGATACTGTCACCGAAATTGAGCGATTTTCTATTCTTCCCTAATCGAAGCATCGACCGTATGCCACCCTTTTTTCGCGAACGTTTATATCGATCATCTAAAGCTGAATTGAGAGAAGCCTGTTTCACGTCCCCCCTACTATTTGGAAAACCTTCGCGATCGTCTTTAAAATTATTGCCACTCGTTATCCCGCCATGCACATCATCCACGAGCCAATGTTTTCTCGGCGAAGTGAACTTATTATTACATCCAGGTATAGTATACACGTATTCCGACTGAGCAGGATCCACGGACTTTTCGTATCGTTTTATATTACTATCGCTCGCCGTGCTACCCTCGGTGGTACTTTTACTTTTATTCTTTTCAAAATTCTCCGATTTACCTCCTCGTCTCGTCTGATCCTCCGACTCTGTCGCCTGATTCGCGGACTTTTGATTGGCTTGTTCCTGATTTTTATTCTCGCGACCCTCCCGTAATTTCTTATTTCTCTTATAAGTGTCCGTATTCTTTGCATCGAGAGCGGCGTGCCGCTTTTCCGACATACTTTGCCTACCTAACGCGTCGCGGGAAAACTTATTGGAAGAGGAGTTAAATTCCTCCAGAGATAACTGACTGTCGTAAGTCGGGTCCCCTGAACACTGACTGTCTTTGTCGTCTGTGTTTCTCTTAGCATCATTGCACTGTGGTTCACTGGAATCTTCTAACAATACTTGTTCCACCCGCTCGTCGCGCTGTCCTACGGTGACCTTTTTCACGTTACTGGCAGGTTCGATCCACGTTTTATTGGTAGCAATACAGTAACTTTCATTCCTTAGACTGTTCTTATTATACTGTTCTGTTAATCTGTCGATGACTGGATTCCAAGGAGATGCTGTTACACAAGACAACAAACCCCCATTGTCTAAGATATCCGACTGTGAGTTTAAGCTATTCTTTTCTTTCACTCTGCCCTCATTGGCTTTTGTAGAATCGGATATGTATATACTGTTAGCGGACTCTAATTTACAGCGAGGAGTCAAATTCTCAGGAAGATTCTTCTCGTTTCCATCGTACGATGATATCCTCCTAGCTATTGTGAGGGTAATTACACCTGTTACAGAGCTATTTGTATTGAGCATTGCTCTTCTGAGCGTTTCCATTGCATCGGAATTAGATAATCCCAACAAAGATACCCCATTAACATTGAGCAACTGGTCATTCGTCCTTAACCGTCCGTCTCTAGAAGCTGCACCACCGTGAAGAACACTTTTTATAAAAATCCCCAAATCCATGTTAGTGTTCTCATCCGTGTTTGTAGTCTTTCCTTTTACACTGACACCTAATCCTGCTTTTTCCGAGTCGTGTACTGGTATATCCAAAGTTAATATCATGCGATTTTTTCGCGGTGACAAAACAATATCTTCCGAACATTTTACGGACTTGAATGTACATTTATCATAATTACGGGTATTAATTTTATCTTGTGTTTCAGTATTCTTCTTTATCGGTGACGTATTCAATGTGTTCCAATACTTTGAGTTATCTGTAATTTCCGAAGCTTGACTCGCAGTGGTAACATGAGATTGAGAATCTGGAATGCTGGAGGAAATTTCTTCTTGGCGCGATACCACCATTCTCACTTTCCCGCCAGGCGAAATACTTCTAAGAAGCGAAACCACTTCCGCTTGACTTTTGCCGGTCATTTCTTTATTATTTACTTCCAACAGCCTATCGCCAGATCTCAATCTGCCATCCTCGACCGCAGCACCTTTCGATAATATATTCTTAATATATATAGGACAATGTCCTCCTGCAGGATTATCACGTGTGGTGACACTAAATCCAAGACCGTTACTTCCTTTCGTTAATTCTATCTCTATCATACGTCCAATTTTACGAGTGTTAGCAGTCTGTAACAAGTTGTAGTTACTACATTGAAGTCTTTTGACATTGTCATCCGTTTCTGTCTTTTCTGATCCTCCACTGGTGTTTCCATGATTTTTATGCAGCGATTTTTCACGTGGTTTTTTATGCTTGACCACAGAAATTTGCAAACATGGTTCAGTCATACAGGTTCGAAATATTTCTTGCACTTTGGAGAATGGTATATGCAATAGGTTGTGACCATTTATTTTTATGATTTTGTCGTGCAAATCAATTTGCCCATCTCTAGCAATTCGGCCATTGGGCTCGATACCTTCGACTCTGAGTCCCTGATCATTACCCAATAAATCATAACATGGCACCACGTGAAGCCCTAGCGGTCCTGCTTCATTCTTTATCACAATTTTTCGAATTTCCCCCTGATCTCTAGATTCAATATTGGCATTCGCATATTCAAACGATGCTTTGGCATCTTGTCCCAATGGTTCTCTGCGCCGAGATTCTCTGGGTAGAGATTGAGCAGAATATGTAGTTAAACAAGGTTCTCTGGTTGATAGAGCGTGCATTGACAATCTTTTAGTGCTTTCTCTTTTAATACTACTGGTAGATACAGAGGAATGCATATCGATTGGATAAGATAATTCTTTACCATCGGAGTGAAAAAAATCTGGGCTATTTGTCCCAACCGAGCTTGCCCCATCACCACCAGCATGGGTAGTGTCTGTACTTACAAAATGAGCAACAATCTGTTCTCTGTCATCGGCTACATCACATAACCTATCATCTGGATCCAACAGGCCACCCCCAGTTAAAGAAGATAAGCTGTTTATAGATAATGTATTATCATTTTTTCCAGTTGCCTTTTTGTACCTTAGAATAGCCTCGTGCATTAAGTCCTTAACCAGTAGGGTTCCATCCCCGCAAGGAACCACCACTCGAACGTTGTCAAAACACACAGTCACCTTCATGCTCGCTCCGATTTCATATTATGGCGTTATACGTTTACGAGAACGTATTGATTATTCGTGATGTTGTAGCACGATTAAAGTTGTTTCTAATGTATTAATAAATGAATAAGACGATGTATACGCACGTGTGACAAGATACACGAAGTCGTAAATTTTTCTTATATGATACGATTATCTTCTATTATCTGTCGTGTACTTCCATATTCCGATAATGAATCACCGACATTGTACACTGGACACTTTGATTTTCTTATTGTCGGTTATATTAATTTAAAAACAAAACGTATACGCGAAAACCAAGTGAACATATTCGAAACAGAAAACTTTGTCACAATTGATAAGGCGGACGCGTACGCCCAACTTTATCACAACATCAAATATGCGGAACAGACGCACTCGCCATTACCACATTTTATTCCACTATTCCTTATGACAACTCAACGGAAAGCAAGAAACATGGCGATACAAACAGTGTGGCCAACAAAACAATCCAATGTGCCGCTTTCATCTTTCGACATCCAAAGAAATGTAATTTAAGTATAATAAGTAAAAAAAATTATACAATGAACACTTACCATTCTTCACAAGATGCGCCATCGTTTAGCGATACTACTCCCAAAAGAACGATAATAACTGATTCACGGATGAAGTTTACGTCTTCTTCAATTTCTCCATCCACACACTTATTTACACCCTAACCACACTAAAATGGTCCATATCCGTTGGTTCTTATTTAACCTTGGAATTTAAAGGCCGGCTTTCAATGAATGTATCATCGTCGATTTAACAATGAAACTTATTTTTAATTGGTTAAGAACAGGTGTACAATACATGCATAGAACACTAATTGGAATTCTGTATTAATTAATGATAACAATTTGTATAATATTATACATGATAATGATCGTGTCATTTACATTGTTATGACATTTACATAATTTAAATATGTTTCAACATTCAGAAAAATTTTTTCAATCATTTTCGATTAATTTTTAAATAATTTTCCATAAAAATCAAATAGTGGTCAATAGGATACCCACTTTCATTTGATTGAGAGATTTAACTGATACCATTTTTCACATGGATGTGCAAAAATTGGGCTACATCTAGAAACATTGGTGACACCAAAGAAATTTCTGATGACACCTCTTAGTATATCTATTCTGCGCTTACTGAATTGAATTAATTTGATGCAGTTGGATATAGTCCAAAGTTACCTACCCAAACCTTACTCAGATTTTGAAACGTCAGTTATATAGAAAATTTCAAGTGATTAAACTACTTTTTCATTACGTCATTATCAATTGATAATACAATAGAATATAAATATTTTTAAATTCACAAGAAAATGAAGTGGTTCGAGGGTAGTATCAACGAAGCAGTTGCGACGTCAAAATCCAAGAAAGCAATTTTTGTGGTTTTTATCGAAGGTACATATTTATAATTTTAGGTTAAGCTATTGTTCGTTTTGTCACTACTCTTTTATATGGTTACTAAATTATATCTTTGACTGAAATTATATTTGTGCAATCATGTTTGCTTTTTTTACATTAAACCATGGCAACTGTTATTTCTGTATCTAATTAATGTTACAAGTTAAGTTGTATTGCAACCCATTTGCAGGAAAGGATGACAAATCAGCAGACGTTGCTGCAACAATCAATACTACAGAAGTTTCTTCTCGATTAGAACAAGAAAACTTTGTAGCAATTCGAATAGAATATAAATCTGAGACCTATATCTCCTTTGCCAAAATTTGTATCCTTTTATGTAACGTGTTGGCAATTATAGATAGTTTATTAAAAATGCAGTTCTTAAATATCATGGAAATTTAATATTTTCCTAAGTACTTTGATAAGATACAATGGTACCTGCCCCATCTTTATTCTTTATTGGTGAAAATGGTACACCGCTGGATGTAATTATTGGCAGTATAACAGCAGCTGAACTGTTATCTAAGATTGATTTAGTTTTAACAAAGGCAGGAAAGAATGCAAATTCTTCCAAGAGTTTGATAGATGGGGAGAAAAATGCTACTGTTGACAGGAATGTTAATGACTCTGATAATGCAACAAAGTCAAATACAGAAGCATCTATAATGGAAGCATCAAAAAATGTGAGCGATGATGTAACTACAAACAGTATGAAAGTAGAATCTTCTACTAGTTCAAAACCCATAGAAACACCAAACACTTAGTAGTACTTGAACCAGAACCAATTGCGTCGATGTCATGTCCATGGAATCATATTTTATGAAATAATCGTACTTGAATAGTCGACCCTCCAATATTCCCCCTAAAAAAAAAGAAAGTCAACTAATCGATACATTCGTCGGGAAATAATTCTGTATCACTTACCCATCATGTAAATTTGAAAACATTTTTTAAAAATTTTTTCTAGAACAGCAACATTTATGTCAGGACTGAACACAAATGCAGTGTTTTGACTAAGTAATGGACTAATGCCTTCGTAAGGTGAATCTTCTATTGCTTTGCGCACAATGCGAGTCCCGTATTTCTTGTAGTACATGTTTGCCATTTTTAACAAAACTTTAATATCGAATAAATCATTTTACTTTATGCTATTTACATGCAAGCAGGCGACCATTTTCGAATTATCGAAACAATTTCGGACTTCCTTCGCTATAATTTTTTCGTAGGGCCCAAGTTCGTAATTACCTTTCTCGCCTAATGCGTTTCGACATAGTTCGTCCAGAGTCTTATACTGATTAGGATTGATAAAGAATGGCGTTAAAAGTGCATTCACTACAGCTTTCTTATAAAACACTTTCGGCTTTTTAAGATTTATCTTGCCTCTATAACGCTTCTGTTGGTATAACAACTGATTTGGTGTTAATTGAAATGCTATAACAGAAGAAAACAAGTTTATACTTGCAAGCTACGTGCACCCGTTATCTGGCTTAATTAAAATACCTACCACAATGTTTTCGGGCTCCGTTACGGACTATTTGTATCCATGATTTTTTACGTAGAAATTCCAATTTACAAACAACGATCAAAACGATCAAAGTAGTAAAAATACTTTCTAGGAACCAAATATATTAGTAACAATAGAATAATTCATAATTCGGAACTATTGGTTATTCAAATTACACATTGCATGAATTGCGTGCACGATTTTTTATTTTAAAAATAGATACATGATCGGTACGAATTGAAGACGAGTACAAAAATTATATATACAGAATGAATTATTTCTTGCAACGATATAAGGCACTTTGGAACAAATCATACAAGTAAATATATACTATATGGTCGCGTATCGTGTACGTGTACGTTCGTAACGTGCGATGAGTGTGAACAGAAAATTTTTTCATTCATTTTCGATTAATTTTTTAACAATTTTTAAATAATTTCTCATAAAAATCAAATAGTGGTCGGTAGGATACCCACTTTTATTTGATTGAGAGATTTAACTGATACCATTTTTCACATGGATGTGCAAAAATTGGGCTACATCTAGAAACATTGGTGAAACCAAAGAAATTTCTGATGGCACCTCTTAGTATATCTATTCTGCGCTTACTGAATTGAATTAATTTGATGCAGTTGTATATAGTCCAAAGTTACCTACCCAAACCTTACTCAGATTTTGAAACGTCAGTTATATAGAAAATTTCTAGTGATTAAACTACTTTTTCATTACGTCATTATTAATTGATAATACAATAGAATATAAATATTTTTAAATTCACAAGAAAATGAAGTGGTTCGAGGGTAGTATCAACGAAGCAGTTGCGACGTCAAAATCCAAGAAAGCAATTTTTGTGGTTTTTATCGAAGGTACATATTTATAATTTTAGGTTAAGCTATTGTTCGTTTTGTCACTACTCATTTTATATGGTTACTAAATTATATCTTTGACTGAAATTATATTTGTGCAATCATGTTTGTTTTTTTTACATTAAACCATGGCAACTGTTATTTCTGTATCTAATTAATGTTACAAGTTAAGTTGTATTCTAACCCATTTGCAGGAAAGGATGACAAATCAGCAGACTTTGCTGCAACAATCAATACTACAGAAGTTTCTTCTCGATTAGAACAAGAGGATTTTGTAGCAATTCGAATAGAATATAGATCTGAGACCTATATCTTCTTTGCCAAAATTTGTATCCTTTTATGTAACATGTTGGCAATTATAGATAGTTTATTAAAAATGCAGTTCTTAAATTTCATGGAAATTTAATATTTTCCTAAGTATTTTGATAAGATACAATGGTACCTGCCCCATCTTTATTCTTTATCGGTGTAAATGGTACACCGCTGGATGTTATTATTGGCAGTATAACAGCAGCGGAACTGTTATCTAAGATTGATTTAGTTTTAACAAAGGCAGGAAAGAATGCAAATTCTTCCAAGAGTTTGATAGATGGGGAGAAAAATGCTATTGTTGACAGGAGTGTTAATGACTCTGATAATGCAACAAAATCAAATACAGAAGCATTTGTAATGGAAGCATCAAAAAATGTGAGCGATGATGTAACTACAAACAGTATGAAAGTAGAATCTTCTACTAGTTCAAAACCCATAGAAACACCAAACACAAGTAGTGAGACAGAAGATGCAGGTACCAAAGAATTGACACCAGAAGTATGTTTACACCACAGGATTTTTACAATTGCTTAATATTAAAGAACAAATACCAAAGTATTGTATGCTTTTAGGAAAAAGTAGAAAGAGCAAAACAGTTGATTGAGTTACAACAAAAAGAACGTATCTTAGAGGAACAACAGAAGGTGATACAACGAGAGAAAGAGCGCCGTAAAATGGGACACGATGTGCAAAAGTTTAAACGATACCAGCAAGAATTGAAAACAAAACAAGCTCTTGAGGAGAAAATGAAAGAGAAAGCTGATGAAGCAGTAGCTAGAGAAAAGGTTAGGCAACAAATTGCTCAGGATAAATTAGAACGGAAACAAAGAGAACTAGCTCTACAGGTTTGTAAAACTTTTTTTTTAAATAAAACAATGGTTAGAGTTGTATTTGTATGTATCAAAAAATGCTATTCTTGTTGAGCGTAGCAGGAAAAACAAACAGAACCGGTTCAAGAATCATCTAAATCTTATGTCTCTGTGGCAAACAAAGCAACTATAACTCGAATTCAATTCAGATTGCCAACTGGCAATCCTCATATGGGACAATTTGAACCAACAAGCACTTTACTCGACTTGCGTACATATGTTGTTCAGAATATTGATTTACCATTCTCTCAATTTGCAATGTCCGTCTCATTTCCTAGAAGAGATTTGACACAGGAAGAAGATGATAAAACACTTTTAGAATTGGAACTAGTTCCTACTGCTGTGATTTTAATTCTACCTATGAAAAATGTAATTGAAATTTACATTTAACAAAAATTTGTTCACATTTCTATCTTACATAAATTTTTGATTAACCTAATTTGTGATTTTAGTCTAAAGTTTCGGCGACTATCACTACAACACAAGATGCTGGTTTCTTATCACGATTCGTGTGGACCTTTTTTGCACCTATCCTAGGTGTTTATAATTATCTACTAGGTTATTTCTCGGGAGGTACGCAGGTAAATACGCAAAGGCAACAGAACAATTCTGCTGAAAACAGAGATACGACAAATAGATCAGATGGCGCTCATATACCTAACCTGCAAGACATTGCTAACTCATCAGGGTACGTTGAACATTTATGAAAATGCTTTACATCGACGGAATACAAGTACAGAGTTTATTAAAATGTTGTTTGTGGTCCTAGTTTGGTCAGAAGATACTTGGGTAACGAAGGCGGGACAACCATCAAAACGGAGGGCAATATACATAAACTTCATTCAAGTGGGGATGATAATGATGAAAATAATACATGGAATGGTAATTCAACGCAACAAATGTAGATTATCACAGATCGTTCAAGTTCAAATACGTTCAGTTATTTCATTAACCAAGATTTTTAATGCCCAATGGATATACTATTTTTAATTAAAAATATATTTTGTTAAGCTTTCACACCTTCCCGTTTTATTTTAGCAAAATCAAATGTTGCGTGTTAGGATGCAATGTAGTATGATACAATTTAATCGAAAAGTAAAATATTTTATTTATAAAAAAATGTTTATTTTCGTTGAATATTTAGTGGACAAAATTATTAATATTCTACAGTTCTATATCACCTTCTTACTGTGGTAACTTATTTTAACAAGTTACAAGTGATATACGGACCAAACGCAGTCGTCTAGCTGCGTTGTGACATATAAAGTTACATCGCGATGTATTTCGATGTATTGACTATATATATACACAATCTACAAATGATATATATACAGGGTGTTTGATCACCTCTGGGTAGCTGAACACCCTGTATATCCTCATATCTCTAGATGAGTGACACACATTAAAAATTATAAGTTAATTTATATTTAGAGATTTCCTTAAAAATTATTTTACTATATTACTCTAATCGAACTTACTGTACATGATTATGAATGGTAACAAACATATATGCAATAGCAAATATATTATGTTTTATTTTGTAATAAAAGGCGAAATGCACCGAACAAAGGGCCTTTATTCTGTTAATATATAAATAAAGATATAAAAAAAATTAACACAAACTTATGTTTTTGTTACGTTTCACCCTCCCAAAATGGCATCAGCGATCATACGCTTAAAAAATATTACTATTATAAAATAGTATTTGGTTTCGAAAAAATGAACACCCACTGAATGACACCGACCATCGAACAAGTGGATTCGAGGAAGTTTGTTAGAACGGTGGGAACACGGAATCGCGACGCGATATTTTTCGTCTGACGAAACACGACTCCAAAAATATGTTCAAGGCGAGGGAAAACAAACGCCAGGGAACTGTCTGGTTTGTCGTGTTTTGCGGTTGACACCGTCCACAGGAACCGATAATTTACATCCTTCCCACCTCACGAACTGTCGATCGCAGCACCAATTAAGCATAAAATTGACAAACATTTTGGCCGACATGTTCCTTCGAAAGTTTCCGCTGTCTGGCAATGTAACATATTGCAGAACCTGCGAGAGGTGTGCCGTCCGAGTAACATGATCTCGCAGACACACCTACTTGGTCCTTTCAACAGCTTATACTGTCTACTTTGCTCAAGACACGTTCGTTACGCTCGAAACAGTAGGGTTTCTACGTTTCTTTTTATTCCCAATTTTCAACAATTCATATATATTATTCGATCAACCTTGTACATCGATTAAAAAGGAAACGAATAACTCGGCGTAAATTAAACGCGACGCGCATAAATAAATTTTAATTGAAACTTGCATAGCGAGGGATTGTTGCCGCCGACGTCCCTAGATCTGATTTATACGGAAGAATCGCGACTTGGCTACCAGCGGCTTTGAAACAAATTTCTGCAGTGTATTTTGCTGGTTCGCATAAACGTAGCCAAGTTCCACATCTGTCAACAGTTCTTGTATCACTCTGTCATCTCTATCATCGTAGCGTTAATACACGCGATTGTGCGTCTAATAATCTCATTAAACGTACGACCAATTGTGCATCTTCCGTGGTGGAGCCGACACACCCGTCACATCGTACGGTTTTACGCGAATTCATAGAAATTCGAACGATGTAGACAGTTGGCTAAGGTCTAATAATACAACCGAGCCATTCAGTGTTTCATCCTGTTCAAATTTACAAGTATTGTAAAAATTCTGACTAATAGCGAAAAATTCGATCACTGAATCTGAATCCTATCCAGGAGCATTCTTTTCGGGTCTCCAGAGCTGGACCTCTTAGACATTTAAAGAAAAACTCTGTTTTGAGTACTAAACTCTTTATTTATACCTAATATATACAAAAGCAAACGAATAAAAAGAAATATTTTTAATTAGAATATTATTAAATCACCGAAGTATTAAGCTGTTCAGCGTGTCATCATTGTTAAGCCGTGATCGGAAAGCCCGCAGAATCGTATACGCATCGGCGCGCAACAGATTGAAAATTGATTTCAAATCTCGGCTGGCTGCTGTCGAGGCAATTATTAAATAGCGTTTCATGGCGGTGACAGAAATTTATGGATACCTCATTACCACCGTTTAGTGACTGCTACCGTCGCGCTGTACGAGATCATTAGGGGCTCCTTCCAGAAACGCACGTGCTTGCCAAGAACCGCCCAATGTTGCACGGCATTGGCCGGCCGCGCGATGACGTCGTGAGCACGTGGCTTTGCGACACCGCCTCGAGGAACGAAGAATTTGACTTGGCTGCCAAAATATTGTTGGACATCGCGAGCAAACCCGACAAACAGTCGCTGGTTTCGACTCTAATCCCGCGAACGGATCGCAGGGTAGTCCGTATCGATGTCCTGAATCGATCCCGCGTTTCTCGATCGCCGTACGACAACGTTCCCGAGCGTTTCCGTTATACTTCGACGAAGGAAACTGAGGATTCCAGTGTTTGCGACGCGACAGTGATAACCGCGCCGGAAAAATGTGCAGTGAATCGTAAATACTCGAGACTCGGGTAGACGCCTGCTATCATGGACAAGTTGATAAAATCATTTCACTAATTGCGCTCGTTGAAAGTGAAGAGATTATAAATCATTTTCTTCGGGGCAACGCGGAAGGTATCTAATCGAACGATCCGCCGCGCGATCGGAATACCGAATGGTGATAAGATCTAGACGACAGTGACGAGAGCATCTTGGAAATTAAGAATCGAGGATGTCGGAGGAACGCGTAAAAACGTCCGAATCGACCAAGGAATCGACCGAGTTGGCCGAAAGTCCGAAATTATGCTCGTTCAGTATCGAGAGCCTTTTAGCGCCGAGCAAGAAAAACGCGGACGACGAGGGGCGCTTACCCGCTCTGACCGAGGTCTATTTACAAGCCCACGAATGTAAGTACAATAGAAACAATGTAAGTTTATTCGCACGGAAAATCATCGAAATATTACGTTCATCATAGCAAAGTTTGAAAATTTCATATTCGTTGATCTTCAATACAATTCTTAATGCGATATAAAAAGAAGAAGGGAAGAAATGCATTCGTACATTCTAAGAAATAAACAATACAAGTAAATTAATGTACAAAGAATGTTTGCAAGAAATGTAGAAAGATATTATCGTTAGAAAGAAGTGACGAGCACAAATAGAAAAATTGTAGAAAAGACTTGCAAAGGAAAAGAAGAAAATAATGTTCTAACGTTGTGGATGTTATATTCTATTTTTCGAAATAATCTTAGAGAGGATTAGAGTAAGTTGTGTTCAAAACAAGGGATAATTTCCTTAAATAGTATTGCAATTTTCCAAAAAATTTACCTTTTACTCTATATTTCTTACAATCGCTTTTCACGTATTCGAAACTAGTGTTTCTTTTCCTCATTGATCCCGATGTTCAATGTATATGGAATTTTCAAACTGCACTAAGTAACCAAAGGATAAAATAACGAGCAATTTTTGTTACATTAATTGTTTTAAACAGCGAACGATTCTGAGGGACGGAAGCTGGTAGCGCCAGATTCCTCAATGTCCGTGGCAGAGGAAGCCGAGTTCGACGATTCTGATATGGTTTGTTCCACCTCTCCTGAACCGGAAATGTGCTACGGTGAGTTGAATTGAATTTTTGAATATCAGGTCAATATTAGAACAGCGACGAAAATAATCGATTAAGATATTTAGAATAAGATGAGTTATTAGAAATATTAACTAAGAATAAGGAGTTTACAAAGTACCGTTTTATTTGAAGAAAGCATCGGAACGTTAGAACACAGACGGGAAAATAACATTTATTATGTTACTAAATTTAATTATACACAATGTCTTGCAACAGCACTCTGCAGAACTTTGAAATTATACAGGTGTTCCGCACTTGTGTTTGTTTTAACTAATTACTCGGTTAATAAAGGTATATCCAGTGAAAACGCGAGGACAGAGACTTGGAAATTGTTTGGATTCGACGACGACAAATAATCGAGTTATTTCAACGGAAAGATTACTATTAAAACATTGGGCAGTATCTGCAGTATATTTACATTTCTTTAACTCTACTTTCTTTCTGGTAATTGTATAATATTTGCATTTAATAGCCTTGTACATTCAGTTACTTATTATTTAAAGCGACTATTAATTACTGCATGGATGTACAAATAATTTGTTTTTCAAAAGGATAAAACAAAATTCATGCAGTAAGCATGAAACAAATATTACACGATGCGTGCTGAAATGCTATCGCATGATTTATTAACACAGATGGAATTTGCATTTTCAACGCCAAAATCATTCGTTTCGATGCATTCTATGCATAGAAACTAATTTTACATTTAATAACTGAAGTATTTGCACAAAAGAATGTTTATAACTTCGTAAATATTAATTTTTCGACCCATTTTTATTAAGACTTTTATGCTTCTATTCGCGATAAAAGTTACGTACCCTTCATATGAAACTCAGTAGCTCATACGTATAATTGATTTCCTTTTTATTTTGTGCACTCCTATTAAAAAAATTCGAAATATTTAAAACCGTGGGCAGTGGAACAATTAACCAAATCAGAATCGATTCTTAAACATATATCAACAATTAACGACTCTTTTCTTAATAATATATTTTTAAGAATTTCTGAATGAGGAACTCTGCAAGTTCCCCCCCCCCCCATCCTTGGATCTTTTTATCAAGCCACTCGAATATATCTCAAGTTGTCGGCGCAAAACCGAAGAACTCTTTGATCCCTTTAACCTTGCGTTTATTACATAGTGCGCAATAAAGAGTAATTGTTTCCACTTAATTCGGATATTGTTACAGAGGTGAAAGGGAGTAATTGTTACAGAGTCGACGCGCTTCCCTCGCGCGGTAACGAATTCGTAAGTTTGTGCCGAGGACCGTTGCCCCGTGAGTTTGATCCATTACTTCCTGCAGGGTCCACGCCCACTCAATGTTCCTGCTTCTCGTCCACTATTTATCTGTCTCCTGCTAATTCTGCCATGGAAATGCAGCAAAATGTGCGTTCGCGCGATACCTAGCACAGAATGAAAAAAGACACCGCGGAGCATTCTGCCCGCATCTTGCGCGTTGGTACATTTGATTTCGCTTCTTTGAACGCCACGGAAGACCATTAACGCGATGGCTGCCAACCAGAATCGGCTAAATTTTATTCGCGAATAACCAATAAAAATTCTAAACTTATTCGTAAACTAGCTTTTATCTACGTCTTTAGATATATAACATTTCTATGTGCAAGTTCGCGGAACAGAAATCTAATTATGGCCTCCCCGAGGTCCTTGGACTCCAGCTTAAAACCACTATCATACGTTATAAAGTATTATCTTGTATTATATATTAAAAAGTAAGCTTAATCTATTTGACCCAATGAGGCATCGCGTCCTAGGTATCTCGTATTATCCTCTTACGAGGATAAGATAAATGTTATAACACGCTGACAGAACATTTCGCGATTTACGAACTACTTCGATAGTAGTTCGTTGATCGACGACTCGCTGGACTTAATTTCAATCTGCCGGGATAGCAAAGTTCCTCGACGACTAATTTCCACCAAGGACCCTCGGACCGCGTGATTTACACTGCATAATGGTCGCCACGATAAATTCGAGATCTAAGGAAAGGACAATTCTCGTTTGCGGCGTGCACCCGGACTGAGATATGTGGGACGTCGCGTCCAACTACAAAGCCGTCAACGCGACTCGTAAATCTCTGCGAGAACCAGCATCGCGAGCGAGTAAAGTCGTCCAAAAGTTGCTATCCTTTTAAACGAATCTCGCCTTTCTGATTTCTAATGAGCCGTTTGTTTTCTGCACGATTCTATTAATCATGCGCGAAATAAATTCAAACGCCATACCGAGCAAATGAAAATAACACCGTGGCGCTTGTTAAACATTGCATTGTACAGAATGCTCGCCATTTGCCATTAACTCTTTGTTGTATATGTACAACATCTACCATTGAAAGTTATCGTTTTAATAAAATAGTTTATGTATTTTTTGTTTGGTGAGGTTAAATTGTCAAGAGTTCTAACAAACGAAATTACTTTTGCAACCAACTACCAAATTATGAAATAAAGGGTTAAATAAGTACAGTATTCTACTGATAAAGGTGAACGTTTCCGGGACTGACTTTGATATTTACAAGGCATAAGATTCTGTACTGTGACGCTCGTTTCTGCTGCATATTGTCAACCTCTTTGATGACAGGAATCTTGCAACAGCTTGTTCGCGATGCGAAGCAGTTCAGGTTTTTCGCTCTTCGAGGCGTTGAAACATCGACTCCGTTTCGTTAAAGTCTCTTCTTAACCGTCAGTGCCGCGGAACAGCCTAATTCTAGATCGTTGTCCGGGGCGAACAAAATTAAAATAATACAAGATAAATAACTATTTGTTTGATCGATTTATACGAATTTTTATTCTATCTATGGACTATAAATCAGGAATCAATTTTTGTTTTTATCGTTCATTTGTTCGTCAGTTCTGGGTTCGTTCTAGCTAGAAACCCGTAATATTGTGGTACTAGCATGAAACAATCGTTTATTTCGGGTCTCGGCCTGTATTTTAGAAAATTCCGGTTAGGTCTGCATCAGGAATCAATTTTTGATTTCTTCGTCCATTTGTTGGTCAGTTCTTGATTTTTAGGTGTAATTACATAGTTTGTGTAAATTAGAGCTAGTCGTAAAAGACTCGTTGAACGAATAAATTACTTTACGTAAGTTTTATCGATAATCTATTATTTGATTCAAATTTTGCTCGTCTCTGATCATAACAAAGGGCCATCTGTCCGTCCCCGAGGTCCGGTTGACCAATCGACGCAGCTCGCGCGCGAATTAATTGACTCCCGGCGGTTGGCCCGCGAGCGTGAAATCGCGCAACACCGAACGAATGAAAATTAGCCACGGTTTATCGCGCATTTCTGCTCGCGCTCCCGCCATTCATCACCGAATAATTAGGAGACAAGTTCACCGCGGCTCGCGGCAATTAGGTAAACTAGAGGGCGTGGTGTTCTATTTCGGCGACTGTTCGCGTCGGGCGCGCGCTTCACGGCCGTTTCAACTTCCTTTTTGCGCCGTCGTCTTCTACGCGGGACTAACCCTTTCTTCCTTCTTCGCGGAGCTCGTTCGTCAATGCAACCGAGTCAGAAAGTCGACGACAAATGAGCCGCGCCAGAGAACAGGCACCCTCCGAAAATATTTTTCCCTTCCGTTCGCTTCGTCGCCATTTCTTTTCCTAAGGAAAAACTCGTCCATTAGAATTCCACAGTTTCTACCGTAAAAACCGCACACGTAATCCTCCAAGACATTATTTAAACTATCGCTTTCAACGGAGCACGTGGCGGGTCTTACAAACGCGCCCATCTTGAACGAGTTAACATCGATGTATCCACAAAATATTGAAAGCCTGGTTAAATTTCGCTTTTTTAGCTGGTTTCTCGCATGAGTGCATCTTGGTGGGATAGATCCTGGCGATGCAAAATGTTTCCACGGGCTGCGGTCCAGACTACCGTTTTACATGAAAATGTAAACACATGTAGAACAATTTGATATTATTATCCGCGTGCGCTGATATTCAGGCGTCAGAGTTGGAATCTTTCTTGAATTTACACGTGCACAAGCGTGCACGTCGCGCGACGTGTGCTGTTCACGTCGAGTGAATTAGAGGCGGTACAGTTTTAGCCGACGACTCGGTAGTACGGGCTGAAGAGAAGACTCGAAAAACGCGCGAGATACGCGACAATTACGTCGCCATCTGACAATTAGTAGCCGGTAAACGACACTACGCGGTCCCGGTGACCATGCCGCAAATACTTTTTTCGGGATATTTATTGCCATCCCGACCGCAAGGGTTGCTCGACTCGATCCATTCTCCTCGAGAACAAGGAAGCATCCACCATCGATTTATTGGTGCTAAAATAACCGATGCTTTCTTCGGGTTTGATCGCTCCGCGTCCGAGTTCCACGCTTGTTCGAAATGCACGACCTAACCGTTCAATTTCGCGTTTGTATGTCGAGACAAATGCTCCTCAAATTCTACTTTATTCCTGCTACTCTATTCGACACTCTTTCTCCTGTTCAATTATTTGTTCGCTAGAATAGGTTTGAACATACACTTTTCTAGTTCTATTTATTTGAGAACTAAATTACACGTGGCGAATAAGATTGCAATGTTTTAATTATAATTAATTACAATTTATCAATACCCAATAAAAAGCTACGCCAGAATTCTGTAGACCGTTGTGAGTTACTGTGTCTTTTCGTTTCCAAAAGACAAAGCAACAAAAGGCTTGCATAGAATGATAATGTGCTTTCAATGTTCGTTAGAAATTGTTCTCACGAAGGTGATAAAATGTAGCACACGAGGGATGGTATGAACTTCGAGGCGAGTATCTTTTTTTCTCCCCCCGAAGTAGCAGGCGTACATCCAGTAGTCGAGGCGTCGCGGTGCCACGGTTTTTCGTCGGATGACGAATGGGCAGATAATTAGAAGATGATCCCTCGCTGCTTAGAGCGTGGTTCTGTTACCAGTCGACCGAAAGAGACCCCGAAGACATTCCTCACGACCGAGGCGCGACGTCTTGTACGACTGGCTTGTACACCCGGGATAAATATAAATATAAACAAGTTCGATGGGGCAAAAAGGCTCCGAGATTGATGAGGAGGAAAATTTCGTGGGGGTAATTGGGCCTCGTCGGGTCTGAACGAGTCACTGTTCGGCTCGATCTCGTTTAGAAGCAATTAAAAACGAAAAAAACAGTCCCATCGCGGATGTGCTGAACTCGCGCGCGATTAATGGATGCCCCTTTATCAACATGGCGGTCGATTCAATTTGGTTCCGTTGAAATACGACGTTACTATTGTTTATAATTTGCGTTGGGCGTGATTTGAAGGATTACAGAATCTAACAGACACAATACAGATGGTCTAACGATTACAAGCATTCTTATGGAATATAGATTTTGTTACAATGGTCCGTGTCGTTTCGTTAAAAAGTCGTTTGATTCGAGCATCGTTCAATTACCCAAGTAGGGTCGTTGCGAATACGTTAAGAATTGATTAACCCGTCTGTGGCGACGCGCGTGTTATTAAAGCTTATTTAATTACGGCGCAGTTTCGTTCCATTTAATCTGGGTAAAGTAACGCGACCGCGTCTCGTAATTATTTGATAATTACACGATAAGGAAACGTTATTTTAATTATCAGTCCCGCGCGGACGCATGACGAGAGTTATCTATTTTCCAACGGTGTTGCAGAAGCGTGCACCAGCAGTAGCGGTGCCAACTCCTCGACAGGTGCGGACAGGGACGTTCAAGAAAAAAGCACCGGCACGATTAGCGACGACGAAAGGAAGAAGAGGCCCCGCACGGCGTTCACCGCCGCGCAAATTAAGTCGTTGGAGGCGGAATTTGAGAGGAACAAATACCTGAGCGTGGCAAAGAGATTGCAGCTCAGCAAAAATCTCAAACTGACCGAAACTCAGGTACACATTACGCAATGCACTCATTGTTATACATCCTCGACGCTGCGATCCGACGACTAAACATCCTGTCACCGCGCGAGGAGAGAAATGGCTACCATTACGAGCACGACGACACCAATAGGATTATTTATCCTTTCACAGGGTGGTAAAAATAAACATCCAGTTACTCGTTTCAATATTCAAATTTTAATGGTTAAAGTATCGACGATTGGAAGGATGCACCCTTTAGAAAATATTGTATTGGTTCACTTTGGTTGTTACTGTATTTGTAATAACGAAAGAGAATCCCCTTAAAATTGAAGGGAAACAGATTTCGTGGAAGTCGCCTCGAATAAGACGCAGTACACACGATAAATCGCGATAACGTCCGCTGCGACTTCCGCAGGCTTCGCCACCTGAAATAGTTTAAGTCCCTTGTACGCCGAGTTCCTGAAAATCAACTGCTTTCTGAATTATGACTCCGGGGTCCACCACATGTGTAGGCGCGCCACGTCGTGGCGCCATCATGGGGCGAAGATCGCCCTTTAGGACCAATTAGCACTTGTACGCCCTTTCTTTTCGCGGGTTGCCAGAGAATAAGAAAACAAAACGCTCCTTCCTTTCCCAGAAATCTTTAATTGTATCGAGAACTCTGTGCATGTAAATCTGGGTCACTTTTGACCCCGTACAAAAGATTCTTTCGAACCACCTGAAACGGTAGATTTCAAATCATAATATCTCTTTTTAAATAAAATTGACTCTGATATAAGGGTCTGACGATTCGCAGTGACCCCATGTTAAAAGTTCGATTGCCCGTGCCAACGGCCAAACTACGCTGATCTTTTCGCGCTTTCGTCGGGTTTCTAATATTACCCTGGCACTCGAAACTCGTGTATTCGGCGAAGATTTAAGTAATCACCGCGTTAACTACACAAAGTTGTAAAATAGATTAAAGCAGTTGCATAAGTCGCGAGCCGTGGGGTTGCTCGAGCTTTAAATTAATTAATTTACGGTAACGCTCCAGATATTTCTCGTTCCATTTGGTTGCAATCGGCGGTACCCGTAACGTTGCGAACGGTAGAAATATCGCGGTGGCACCGCGAACGAGGCAGATAATTATCTTTGCGATCATGGCAAAAGGGAGGACGATCAGACGACGGATCAGAGGGAAGAAGGAGACGTGTCGTGCCGCGGACATAACTGTCACAATATTTCTCGTACTTAACGAGCCAGCTCCGGGAGTCCCCTTCTTCTTGGTGTTTCTCCGATCCGTGCGTACGTTCCAGCATGCCACAAGAACGAAACGTCCCGGACGACGGATGTTTCGAGGCGACGGGCCGAAGAGGCGTCGATTTTTTAATTAGGATATATTACCACTCGAATGTTCCGAATCCGACTTACTCTCAGAAAATTCCGACATCATTTTTTCCCCAAGTCGCTTCACGTGTTCCACTACCATACGTATCCACCGAATTCACGTTTCTTCTTACTTACCGCAGGCCTTATCACACCGTAAACCTCGTACTTACAGGCGTCCTAAAACACGAAGGTAGCTAAGAAATTTGTATGCTTTCACAATTTGATATACTACCTTTGTGAGATCTATGTTTACGATACACTCTCAAACATTTTTCGCTGATTATCTGACGCGAGTATCATAGAAAGTTCATTTTCCCGTATGCAACCCTTAAAAACATTTAAATGCTAGAAGCAGAGTTTCGCAAGCGCCTCGGTAGCGCAGTAGGTAGCGCGTAAGTCTCATAATCTTAAGGTCGTGAGTTCGATCCTCACCCGGGGCAAATATTTTTGGTATTCCGAATTGCAAAGGAATATTAAAATTTTTTACAATGTTACCTATCTTGTTCCATACTACTCGTTTAATCTTTCATTCAATTAATATTGGTACGGACAATTTCTGTTAGTATTAACCGTATGCCTACCGTTCACAGACTATTTTTTAAGATTAAGACACTATTTATGATCATATTTCGTGCGATTTTTCAATACAATGGCTAATTATGAAGCTCTTTTAATAGGATCCACTGTTATCGTATTTGTCGAAAATTTCTTGTATTTTTCCCCCACAGATTAAGATTTGGTTTCAAAACAGACGAACTAAGTGGAAAAGAAAATACACGAACGATGTTGAGTTACTGGCGCAACAATATTATTCCAGTTTGGGGATTCCCACGCCGCGACCAATTTTTGTCGGTGACCGTTTATGGTAATTAAACTTTCCCTTTATGTTTACGCTACTGAATAATTTTCCATATCTTAAACTGTGCAAATATTGTGCAGGTTCTTTAACTATCCAGGACAACCACAACCCACGACACCGATCTTTCCGCAGCATTTAACAACAGTGCCTTTACCACCTGCTTTGCCCATTGTACAGCCATTGCCAAGTAACCTTTCGATGGGACAACAAACATCGATTTTTCAAAATATACCTACGAACAACCCCACGTATCACTTGAGTCAAAGGTTGGATTTCAGGCATCAAGACTCGTAAATACAAAGCAGTGTAGTGTCCAAAATAAGTGAAACTTAAAAGTTTAAATCTTCGATATTAATTGCAGTGCATGATTGAATCATGAAAAGGTGAGATCACGTGTGATACATATTTTTGAAAACTTTAGTATTAGCTCTTTGTACTGTAATTTATGTTAGCGTTTCTAAACATTAAGAAATGAATTCAATTATCGAATATTACGTCACATGGGTTAGGGGATTGTGGAACTGACGTGATTTGAAAATGGCGGCAAACGTGGCGCTACTGAAGCATGTCTCGTTTGAAAAGTCGATACTCCGAGGAATCGAGTAATCGTAAATAATAATAAGGATATAAGGAAAGCATGAAAACCGTAGAAGTGAATCTTGTAACTTGCATTTATTATAAGGAGACAGTATACACCCCCGTTTTTAATGGTAAAAGTGAACATTTTTATCTCCAAATAATATATAAATAGTATTAATAAATAATATTGTAATTTCTTTGTTGCATACTATTACAAAAGGTAAACTAATAAATTATTTATTAAAACTATACAATGGATAGAGGTATAAAAATAATGTCAATGTAATTTATTATGCTGCATACCTTTTAAGAAACAGCAAAATATTTAAAGAGCAGAAGGAGACAGAACTTTTGTGACTCCTAAAATCTTCTCATCGCTTGCTGCTTGGTCCTGCATAATTTTGGCATATTTCTCATTATCCTGTAAATCTTCTTCATCCAACATTTCCTGCATCCTTTGTTTATATCTTTTATTGTTCAAGGACAAAGCAAATTAAAGCAAATTTGACATTACCTTACTTGCATACGGGTTATACACTAATAAGATTATCTTAAAGCTATACTTACATATCACTGTCAGGGTTATTTTCTTGATTTCTACACTTCTCTAATTTTTTTTCCAAAGCCCTTACCACATCCTTTGAAGGAGATTCTACGCATTTAGCCATAGATCTTATCTCTATAATATACACATAATTTCCCTGTTACATAGAATCACAGAAGTAATTCTAAGTACTATAAGTAAAAAGACCATATATTTACTTCTTACTGCTTCTATTATACATCCTAAGTGTTCTTTTGAGAACAATATATCGGTTACATAATTATCTAGATTAGCAGATGCTCTAGATGCTGCATGTAATGTTGCAGCTAATGCAACTTGACTTGGTGCATAAAGTAAAACACTATCTGTTAGGAAAACTCTTTCTAGAAATTCATCTATGTATGGCCTCAATCTTTCTGGATTTTCCAAAGAAGTATATCTGGTCTAAAAGTATACGAACTGAATTTACCTACATATTACATTAGTTCATAAGTAACTACTGATCGATATACCTTGATATCTATCATTAATCCTTCTACGGGTCTAAATGGATTATGTACTGTTAAATTATAGTTCAACTGTTGCATAAGAAGCAACTCATTATTAAGTATAATGTCGGATGCCTTTTCTCTATCCCCTTTAATATTAGCAACAAATTGATATATAGACACATTAAATTCCTCTACCTAAAAATATAAAACCCTGTGACAGACTGCATAAACTAGCACACACCTTACAAACAGAGTGAAAGGATAGTTACTTTACAGGCCAAATATACGCATGTGACTAAAATCTCTTTCGGATGATAGTCCATAACACTGTTTCTGAGGTAGAATCTTTTAAAGTAATGCAATGCAGTGGCTATTGTAGCTCGAGGCATCGGAGGACTGAATCGACGACAAAAATCTCTCAACTGTGATTCGTAAAAACGGAGAAGCGTACGCTCCTCTGTATGCGATAGAAAATACTCTTCCCTTTCCTCTGGCTTTGGAAAATATATTTGTACACATTATAGTGACTGCTGTCCAGCAAGTAATAAAATTATTTGTAGTTTCTAGTATCAAGTATACCATAAAAAAGTAACAATTATAGTACAAAACAGTGCGCGTATATATCGGCAAAATCGATTTAAAACGCTTCGATTTATCGATAGAGGTAAAACGCATATAACCTATAAGTTCGCAACAGCGTTTCATTGAAATTTTCAATTTTATCTATGATTGCACGATGTACGATGAAAAACGTGATCGAGGATTAGTACATTAAATAAAAACAACGATTTGCCGTAAAAAATAAAACGACTTACCGTCATGTTCACGCCATGTCTTTCGATAAATTCGGCATTCGTTTTCTCTCTCAGTAGCGTCAAATCATTTTCGTCGCTAAATATCCAGTATTTTTTCTGTGAGCTTTGTGGGAACATCGTCGCTCCAGTTTTGACAAGTGGATTCGAAAAACCGTAACAAAATTACATTCGTAAACAATGTACCGCGGGTTAACGCGGTAAAAACAGACAAAACGTGTTCACGACGGTACACACATGCAATGCTTAAACCAGCTGGCTGAAGAGGGCAGCATTAGGTGCAGTTTGAGTACAACTTCAAGTCGGTATAGTGGTGAACTGCATAATGGATACGTTACATGTTTGTGTTGCAGGAAAAGTTTTGTTCCTGGAGCAAGAAGAAATGTAAGAATTCTTAGGTACTGTTCGTCGATATTCACTTGTTTCTAAGAGGCCCTGGGTAGAGATAAATATCATCTTATGTAAGTCTTTTTGTTTACTTTAGTCTATTTGACATGGTGCTTTGAATTCAAACGAAAGGCTACTTGTAGCATGCTCATGTATTTGGAACATCGCGTAATGTATTTTTGTTTTTGAAGTTATGTTGCGTTTTTAATACAATGCCATGAAATGTTTATCGAATATTGCGATATTTTTAAATAATTAATGTCACGAAACTACTGTCACTTAAAAATACAAGATCGTGAATTTAACAGAGGTTAGAATTTTGATTAAGACGGTATGCATTATTAATCTTTTTTCGTGTGTGAGATATTTAGTGTTATTTACGCAAGTGTTGTGATAAAGAACAGTAATATTGTGATTAAAACAGTCGAATTTTTAATGTCTGATATTATTTAAGAAAATAGTAATACAATGCAAATTTTTTAATAACATTAATGTCATTGGGTATAAATTAATGTATATGATCTACAATGTAACAATTTTCGAAATGTTATTGTAAAAAATACACGTGGACAAAATAAATGGCATTTTTTCGTCGCATTATAACATTGTCAATTACAAGATATATTTAGGGATTTTATTGGTAAAACGTGCTCTTCGAAAAAAATTGTGTATTAGTTTGTATCGTACGATTTAAATATATTTTAACATGATGTTGCTACGAAGAATTCGAAAGTTCAGATTTAAAAGTGGACAAATATCGATTGAAAAGAATCAATAGAAGAAAGGGGAAGTTATTATCCTACTACGAAAAGATCTACGATAAAAAACTCCCAGAGGATATTCGAAGTTTCTTCTACGCATTTTAACGACAAAAAGTCAAGGTAGCCAACAGATTTTAACATGAAATTCACTTTCCAGTGCCCCATAGCTTAACTGCTTCCTCTACGCAACAGACAATAGCCGAGAAATCACAGGAAGAAGAAGAAAGGAAATAATATGCTTATTCCGTACGTTAAGAGAGCATCGTTGGAGAAGAATGTAAAACGCGAATGTAAACAGAGGTATATCTCGGTAAAAGGGATCGTATTTTCTGGTAACGTGATTGTACGTGCTAGTAATAAACAAGATCGGCGAATGGTTGATAGAGGGTCAGAGGTGGGGGTCCAATTTTAATATGTACGCCCCCGCAAGCGGTTGCACGTCGGATCTGAGTGGGCGTTCCTACGACCCTTTGTCAACCGATGACGCCGCTGCATCTTATCACGATCAAGGCTCGGGATCTCCCATTCTGCCTCTCTACCTCGTTCAGCCCTCGAGGCCATCCCGGTGCTGCCGCTTGTTCAAGCAAAGACGTTGCCTCGACGTCTCGGTGGCTATAACTTTCTACTTTTTGTACGCTGATTTATGCTTCTTTATGCTACGCGACGATACGTCGCCCGTGTAGTACAGTGGATCTCTTAAAATTTAGCGAAGCGTCTGCATCTCGTATCTCTCGGATCTCAGATTCGGGATAAAAGAAACGTCTGGAAATTTTCATCTCCCCGAATTGAATTTTTACATAAATAACGATCATCGAAACCGGGTAGCGTGGATTTTTGCTGATCGGGATCGTGCTAACCGGTCACGATACGAACGCTCTTGTGATTGGAGTGATATTTGCACGGGACGAGTGGTCGATGCCACTCGAGAAGTTTAATTTCCGACGAGACCCACGTCGAGAAACGCTATGGCACCCGAAAGTGAAGTACATCCGCCATTAATCTAATATTGCGGTTGCCGCCGCCCTCGACTTTGCGTGCTACACCCTACCCCGTTAAAGGTTGGTTCCCTTCGTACAACACAAACACCAACACATGGATCTTGTGGGCACGCGTGCGCGCATCTACACGAATGCCAGTGTACGGATACCGAGAGAAGGACAGCCAATCGGTTCGGTTTGCTGGTAACGATAATGCAAAATCAATGTCAAGCATGGCGCACGAGGTGTGATGAGCAAAGTGGATTACCTTTGCACCCTTCTACCACGGTGGTTCGCCGCAATCAAGAAGAAGTTTCCATCGAAACGCGGTTGTTCTCGTGGCAACTTACTCGAGACGCCGGGCATAGCTCGAGCAACCAAAATAGCGAGGCACTTAAGATTCGGTGCACGGAGTGCGGAAATATTGCATATAAGCGTATGCAATGTTTTTCTTTTTGTATGCGTGACCTACTGTATCGCATGACCGTTAGCATGCCGTGGTATCGTCGTCGGTTAACCCGCAAAAAGCGGTATCACGCCTGCTCCTAACACTCTAGGTCTGATCGTTGGGGTATCTGGCACGCGAACCTTCGACGATCGAAACCTTCTCGTGTGTTGTTCGCCGTGATGGACGTAGTGTTTGCATATTATATGAAGTTGGTGGTCACAACTCTTCCTTTTCTCGCCTGAAAGTGGCTTTCGGTGGGCCGACGATACTTTCGTGAATCGTGTTGCATGAGTTACAGACCGATTCTTCGAGAAGCAAACCATGTAATCTGCTTGCACTCGGTACGACGAATAATGCACGTTGCGCGAGTGTAATCGTTATTTAAAGGTAGCAACGAGTTTTATGGAAACATTATACGTACAAGTCGCTAATTCGTAAAACCAATATGTTTCGAGTTCTTTAATTATTTAATGCACCCTCGGACTCGTGTTAACAGGCAGTGCATCACTGTGCCCTGTACACGATGTACATTATCTACTATCGGATGTCCCGAGATAATACGCGTTCACTAGTCTGTGAAATGATTGTACGTATACACAGCGTGTGTACGAAACTAAATTTGCCAGAGACGTCGTTACGTAACAAATCATAAATCTCGCAACCAGCGAGTGTACATAGCTGGAAAATCGAGGTACTTACACGGGCACGCTGCAATTGGTTGTGCATCCGTGGATGCGCATATGTGAGAGACATCCGTGTACTAGTATAAACACGTTTGTGCATCACGTATGTACGTAAACATTGTACGTAACGCAACCTGGTTCGCGGCCACGACTCATGTCCCGACGTAATGTTCACCGATGATCTCCCGTCATATGAGTCATGGCGTTTAACTAAGATTACTACAATTTATCAAGGCTGCCGTAGGCATCGGCCTATTACGAGGCCCTGCAACGGTCGACCATTTTATTTTACCAAACTGGTAAATCGATTGACACAGTGTCTGTCCTCGTTGTACGAGCGTTCTCGATTCCATGTCGTCGTTGACCAACAAACGAGAATCTTTGGCGTAAAAAGAGAAGCGCGTAATTTGCAAGTTAAATACGTGGAATTAACGGTTTAAGGAAAACTTGTCGTGGAACGGATCGCCGTCCGTCGGCGATCAACCACGGGCGACCCGATATTTTTTCGCAAATATTAAATCACGATATAAAATTACGATCGCGTCGCGAGACTGTACTCGAGATTGTGTATCGAGATACGGATCGAGGTGATCGCGCGAACGGAACGCTGCTTCTGAACCAATTATCGTCTTTCAAATATCCACAACCAAGCATCCTGCGCTCCGGGCATCGGCGATGCAAATAACACTCCTGCCGAAGATCGAGTGCAGTGACAGTGTTCAATCGGTGATATGCATATCTGTATACTTACGAGCGAATCCTTAATTATACCATTAATGACGTGAATAAATACTTCGTATTAAGACAAACTTTCCCTTCGGTCCTCTGTTCGAGATATGCAAATGTCGTGTTCGTGAAATTGCGAAAAACAATCGTTGATTATCAAGGAACGAAAGGAGAGCACGTTAAGCCAAAGGGAATGGGACAGACAAGGAGGATGAAAGGGGAGTCTCGAGGACGGCTGTCCGAGTGCAACCTTCGCCCCCGGCGGGACCGCGGTCGGCGAAACGCACGTTGAACAATAAGAAGCATCGGTAAAGAAGAGAGAACGAAGTTCGGTGGTAAACGAAGGAGAAAGTAACGCAGAAAGAAAGAGCAAGCCAACGCTCGGTTGTATACGGTATAATTACAGAGGGCAGAGCAGTGGCTAGACCCGCTACAGCAACGTATCGTTGCCCAAGGCGCCAGCATACTCGAAATCGGCTGGGCTCGATCCTCTTGCGACTTGGTCCTAATTCGTATTCGTGCCCCGGGTGTAACAGATAGTATATGCTTCGAAAAACGGCGGAAGAACTGGCAGGAATCTCCTATGCTACGCCCTACTCCCCTATCTACCGATTTCTTCTTATCTCGTTTTAGCAATGCAAATCCCGATGGTCAACGGTGATCCGCCTGTTCTGTGATTCCGACGAAACTCACGTGTCCCACGTGATCTGTTATACGTGCATTATATAAAAGCCAACGAAACTCGTTAGATGTTTATTAAGGGTATCGATAACCAACCAGGGAGTCTCCAACTTACGGTAGACGCAAATTTTAGACATTGATAGTTTGTGTAAAGTATAAGTGTCGTATATTTATTGTAATGTTTAATATGACAGGAGTAGCGGATCCGAGTCCTCTAATTTCGGTCAGCCGCAGCCACCGATAATTAGCGACCGTAATCAGGGGGTCAGTCCACATGACGCTACGTAACGAAACGTAACATGGCGCTCCGGAAATCCCTTGCGGGTGAGGCGTGTGCATTAAGATGAATGCACACCTATCCATTTGTATGTACGCGTGTTACGTAGGTATGGGTTCGGTGTGTCAACGTGGACGACACCGAAAATAATGTTCAAACTTATCAGATGTTACTAATTACTTTGCGACGAGCTTATCGTCTGGCAACCCGGCTAACGGTGCTTAGCAAATTGCAGGCACATTAATGTGTATTAGCGTTATTAAATAATTTCAGGGAAAAGAATCTCACAATGCTAACAAA